CAGGAGAGTGCATTTGAAGCCTTGTTCCATTTGCAAGTTCTGTCTAGTTCATGTTTTATTTTCCCTAGATCTTCTTTTAATACTCTTATCTGCTCATCCTTCCCGTACAACTCATCCTTCATTTTTCCTAAGTTTTCTTCTAGTGTGAGATGTGTGTGATCAGCTTTCTTCTTTCCTGTTCCTAATTTCAGTTTTAAGTTCTTAGACCTAAGTTCTATGACACTAGTGTCAAGTTCAAGAACCTGGTTCTTCAACTCAGCATTTTTACTTTCACTCTCATTAGCCCTAGACTCTAGATTTTTGCACTTGGCTTTTAAGATCACACATTCCCTAGACAGTTCTTCCTTCTCATTGTTAATTATCTCAGACTCATCAATGAAGTCTAGCAGTAGCTCAGACAACCTTTCTTTAGACAGGAATTTAATCTTGTCTTTGAGATGAAGAATACTTACCTCTTGTTCATCATCTGATTCTCCGATGGCCATAAGTGCTTGTTCATCTCCAGCTTCATCTTCTGAGTCCTCATCTGATATTTCTCCCCAGGCAGCAACCATAGCCTTTGTTGATCTTTTGTTTCTTTTTGGTTGAACCTGCTCCTTCTTTGTTCTTTGTTCAGCCCTTTCCTTCTTCCACTCAATTTCCTATTGAGGACAATTCTTGATCATGTGATCAGTCTTACCACATTTGTAGCAACCCTCATTGGTCTGTTTCTCAGGAGCCCTTGGTTTGTTGAAGGTTGTACCTCTAGAAGAACCCTTTCCTCTCATCAGGTACTTTTTGAAAAATCTCTTGTGATCATAGCCATTTCCTCATCCTCCAGATCTGAACCTTTAGCAATTCTAAGAGCCAGACTTCTTTCCTTCTTGGGTGCATCCATTTTCATGGTTTGCCTTCTCAGTTCATAGGCAGTAAGGTTTCCAATTAGTTCATCCAGCTTAAGGGTAGCAATATTCTTTGATTCCTGAATAGCAGTGATTTTGCTTTCCCAAGAGACTGGCAGAACCCTTGTTAAAATCTTCTCAACTTTGTCTTCTTCAAGGATAATCCTTCCAAGAGACTTAAGTTCATTTGTCAGTGTGGTGAACCTTGTATACATCTCTTTGATGGTTTCTCCTTCCTTCATGGTGAAATTCTCATATTGAGAATACAGCAGTGTTCCTCTGGACCTCTTCACTTGAGGTGTTCCTTCATGAGCCACTTGCAAAGTGTCCCAGATTTCCTTAGCAGTGGTACATCTTTGAATTCTACTGTACTCATCTGGACCTAGTCCACACACAAGCCATTTCTTGGCCTTGACATTCTTTTTCCACTTCTTCAGGTCTTCAACAGTACAGTCAGCTCTTGTCGTTGGCACATCCACTCCTTCCTCATTCTTCTTTATAGTTGCCAAAGGACCATCAGTGACTATGTCCCAGAGTTCATAGTCCTCTCCTATGATATGATCTCTCATCCTGTTCTTCCACCAGGAATAGTACTGACCATTGAAGAGTGGAGGCCTAGCAGTGGATTGCCCTTCCCAGTTCCCAGGTGGTGCACTCATGTTGATCTTTTCCTAAGGTGTTAGCCTCTTCAAGGATAACCCGCTCTGATACCAATTGATGTTCTAAACGTCAATACCACACAAGAGTGGGGGGGGGGGTGATATGTGTGGTACCCGATTTTCGCTCTAGAAGAACTAGGTTCTTCTAGGTGTTCTAACTACTGTTTGCGGAATAATAAGTACATAAAATAAAGAACACATCGATTTTTTACGTGGAAAACACCTAGCTCAAAAGGTGAAAAAACCACGACCTACTACTCAGTAGGATTTTCCCAAACTTCCACTAATATCACTGAGCCAAAACTGCATTTACTAAAACTCTTTGTAAACCTAAGGATTACTCTAATCCCGTTGTAGCACACAGCCTCAACTGTTGCGACAACTTCAAGTTATCTTATAACTTGAAAACTCTAAGTACCTAATACAATTGCTTCTATGAAAGCTGAAAGGTACAACTTTAAACCACCTACTACAATTGAACTAAAATAAAAGAAAGACACAATGGAATTGGTTCTTCTATCTCGTTCAAGTAGCTTCAGGAGTGCATACTCAAATCTCACATAAATTGCTTGCAAAAACGCCTTGCTCTTTTGCTCTCAAATTAGTTTAACTTCTGCGTAAGTGCCATCCTGTAAATCACTGTCTTTTAATAGGTTAGTAATCAGAGTTTGATTGGGACTCAATTGCTGACCTTCTTTCGTAGTTGAGTCCTTGAAGATCTCAAACTCCAACACTATCTTTATCCGGATTGTGTTCTCTTCATATAAGGAGACTTTCTCCCCTTATCCAATATGCAACCTTTTCGATCAGATCAGGAGATATTGTTGCTTGATCAGTAGGACTTATCTCCTTCACATGCATCTCACATGTATAGGTTGATCATGACTGTGCTTCACACGATGGACCTGGTCCATGACTGAGTTCTTTTGTCATTCTTCAAAACTTCACCTTTTCTTGGGCCAACAACCTTCAAATCCTAATTCTGAGGTCGTTTACTGAAAATGTTGACCGAAGTCAAACTTGGCCTTTTTAGCCAACCTTAAGGAACCAAGTGTTCCGATATCAACCCAAACTCTTCCAAATCCCATACCAACAATCCCCGCAAGTCATAAATCAGTAATAGCAAGCATAGGAATCTTATTTAGGGGAACGGGGTTTTAAAAAGCAAAACGACCAGTCGGGTCGTTACATTCTCCACCTCTTAAACAGACGTTCGTCCTCGAACGGGTTTAGATTCATACCTGAAGTGCTAAATAAGTGTGGATATCTGCTCCGCATGTCCTCCTCGGACTCCCAGGTTGCCTCCTCGACTGGTTGGCCCCTCCACTGAACCTTTACCGCGGAAATCCTCTTGGATATCAAGTGGCGATCCTGTCTATCAACAATAGCAATTGGCTCCTCCTCATACCCCAAGCTCTCGTCTAGCTAAATAGTGCTGAAGTCTAACACATGCAACAGGTCAGCGTAGTACCTCCGGAGCATGGAAACGTGAAAAGACGGATGAAATCCCGATAGGCTGGGGGTAAAGCAAGCTCATAAGCAACCTCCCCAACTCGCCTCAACACCTCAAATGGGCCTATAAACCTGGGGCTCAACTTGCCCTTCTTTTCGAATCTCATAATACCCTTCATCAGCGAGACTTTCAAGAGAACCTTCTAGCCGACCATGAATGGTACATCCCACGCCTTCTGATCCGCGTAACTCTTCTGTTTGGACTGTGTTGTGCGAAGTCGCACCTAGATCAACTTTACCTTTTCCAAGGCATCTTTCACCAAATCTGTACCATATAACTTAGCCTCACCAAGCTCAAACCCCCCATAGGAGATCGACATCGCCGACCATATAAAGCCTCAAATGGAGCCATCTCGATGCTTGACTGATAACTGTTATTGTAAGCAAACTCGGCCGAAGGCAGGAACTGATCCCACTGCCCTCCAAAGTCAATCACACATCCTCTAAGCATGTCCTCCAGAATCTGAACTGTCCGCTCCGATTGCCCGTCGGTCTGCGGGTGAAATGCTGTGCTGAGCTCTACACGGGTCCCCAACTCACTCTGTACGGCTCTCCAGAAATGGGAAGTGAACTGAGGGCCTCTATCTGATACGATGGAAACAGGCACACCGTGCAACCGAACAATCTCCCGAATATAGATATGAGCCAACCTCTCTAATGTATAAGTAGTCACAACCGGAATGAAATGTGCCGACTTGGTCAACCTATCGACAATGACCCAAACTGCATCAAACTTCCGCAAGGTCCGCGGCAACCCAACTACGATGTCCATAGTAATGCGCTCCCATTTCCACTCAGGAATAGGCATCTGCTGAAGTAGGCCACCTGGCCTATGGTGCTCATACTTAACCTGCCGGCAATTCAAGCACCTAGCCACATACTCAACTATATCTATCTTCATACGCCGCTATCAATAATGCTGCCTCAGATCACGATACATCTTCGTAGCACCTGGATGAATGGAATACTGTGAACTGTGTGCCTCCTCTAGAATCTTCTCCCTCAAGCCATCGACATTAGGAACACATAGGCGACCCTGGAGTCACAGAACACCATCCTCGCCAATGGAAATCTCCTTGGCACTACCCTGTAGTACCGTCTCTCTGAGAATTGCCAAATGCGGATCATCGAACTGCCGAGCCTTGATCTATCCCAATAGTGAAGACTGGGCAACAACACACGCAAGGACTCGGCTGGGCTCTGAAATATTCAACCTCACAAGTCTGTTAGCCAAGGACTGAACGTCCAAAGCTAGTGGCCTCTCCTCCGCAGAAATATATGCCAAGCTACCCATACTCTCTGCTTTCCTACTTAAGGCATCTGCAACCACATTTGCCTTGCCCGGATGATAAAGAATGGTGATGTCATAATCCTTCAGTAACTCAAGCCATCTACGCTGCCTCAAATTGAGATCTCTCTGCTTGAACAAATGCTGAAAGTTGCGATGATCACTATAAACCTCACATGACACCCCATACAGATAATGCTTCCATATCTTAAGAGCATGAACAAGCGCCGCTAACTCCAGATCATGCACGGAGTAATTCTTCTCATGAATCTTCAGCTGATGCGTAACATATGTAATAACTCGCCCCTCCTACATCACTACACGACCCAAGCCAAGGCGTGAAGCGTCGCAATATACCGTATACATCCCCGATCCGGAAGGCAATACTAGAACCGGTGCTGTAGACAAAGCTGTCTTGAGCTTCTGAAAGCTCGTCTCACAATCATCGGACCAACGGAAAGTAGCACCTTTCTGGGTCAATCTAGTCAACGGTTATGCAATGGATGAAAAGCCCTGCACAAATCGGTAATAACCTGCTAACCCCAGGAAACTCCTGATCTCATTCACTAAAGTAGGACGTGGCCAACTCTGAACTGCCTTAATTTTCTTAGGATCCACCTTAATACCTTCTCCTGATACGACATGCCCCAAGAATGCTACTCACTCAAGCCGAAACTCACACTTGCAGAACTTAGCATATAGCTTCTGCTCTCCCAATGTCTGAAGCACTACTCTCAAATGCTGCTCGTGCTCCCCCAGGCTACGTGAGTAGATCAAGATGTCATCAGTGAAGACAATAACAATGGAATCAATATAAGGCCTAAACACCCTGTTCATCAAATCTATAAACGTTGCTGGGGCATTAGTCAAGCCGAAGGACATCACCAAAAACTCATAATGGCCATATCTAGTACGGAAAGCAGTCTTCTGGACATCCGAGTCCCGAATCTTCACCTGATGATACCCTGACCTTAAGTCGATCTTAGAGAACCTAGCACCCAGCAACTGGTTGAACAAATCATCAATGCGCGGCAACGGGTACTTGTTCTTGATGGTAACCTTGTTCAACTGGTGGTAATCAATGCACATCCGCACAGTCCCATCCTTCTTCTTCACAAACAATACTGGTTCACCCCAAGGTGACACACTCGGTCTCACAAACCCCTTTGCTAACAACTCCTCAAGCTGTTCCTTTAATTCCTTCAACTCTTTCCGAGCCATACGATACGGTGGGATAGATATAGGATGGGTGCTTGGAGCCAAATTAATACAGAAATAAATATCATGAAACAGAGGCATGCCTGGAAGGTTAGAAGGGAACACATCGGCGAACTCCCGCGCTACTGGAACTTAATCAATCATCGGAGACTCTGCGGTGGTGTCCCGAACATAAGCTAGATAAGCCAAACAACCCTTCTCGACCATATGTCGAGCCTTCAGAAAAGAAATAACCCGGCCGGGTGTACTAACTGAGGAACCCTTCCACTCCAACCTTGGCAACTCTGGCATCGCTAAAATAACAGTCTTGGCATGGCAATCTAGGACGGCGTGATATGGGGATAACCAGTACATGCCCAGGATGACCTCAAAGTCGGTCATATCAAGCAACAGGAGATCTACTCTAGTTTCAAAACCACAGAATGTGACCACACAGGATGGATAGATCCGATCCACAACCACAGAATCGCCCACAATAGTGGACACATAAACAGGAGTACCCAAGGACTAACGAGGAATATCCAGGAAATGAGGAAAATGAGATGATACATATGAATAGGTAGACCCTAGATTAAATAATACTGAAGCATCCCTACTGCAGACAGAAATAATACCTGTGATAACGGCATCTGAGGCCAATGCATCTGGTCTGGCCAGAAAGGCATAGAACCTGACTGAAGCGTCGGCTGGCTGGCCTCCACCTGACTGAACAGTAGCTAGCTGACCTCCCCCTGCCTTGCCTCCACCTCTAGGATGGCCCTTACCAGTTTGTCCTCCACCTTTGGGCGGCCGGACAGCCGGACAACCGATGCGGTAATCATGGGCTACTGATCCTGCTGCACTGCCTTTCCCTGAAGTCTGGGGCAGAATCTCCTCATATGACCGAGATCTCCGCACTCGAAACAACCCCTCGGTGCGGTGACCTGCTGCCCTGATGTCTAACACTGATTGCCTGTAGACCCACTAGAAGAAGCCTGAATAGCCGGTGGGCGGTATGAACTCTTCGGTACAGTACTAAAGTAGGAGCTGGAAGAACCCTAGGGAACTGAATACCCACTGGAAGAACCTTGGACGGCTAGCGAGCGGAAAGAACTCTCTGGTATGGCGCTAAAATAGGGTAGCGCTGGAGCACCTAAAGGAGGTGGTGGCACCGAATATGGGGTCTTGCTGGGATGACCCCTCCCATACTAACCTCTGCCCCTAGCCGAGGCACCTCTAAACTCTCCAGAGAATCGAGCCCTTTTGTCCTGCTGCATCTGCTCTCTACCTCTCAGACTGTAGCCCTCAATCCTTCGGGCAATCTCCACTACCAGCTGATAAGGAGTCCCCATCTTAACCTCTCGGGCCATGTTGGCCCTAATACCAGAGTGCAACCCTGCAACAAACCTCCGCACTCTCTCTGCGTCCGTAGGAAGTATCATTAGTGCATGGCGAGACAACTCAGAAAACCTCACCTCATAGTCGATCACTGACATCTTACCCTGCTCAAGCTGCTCAAACTGATACCGCAACTCTTCCCTCTTAAAGGGTGCAATATAACTATCCAAGAAAATCTGTGTGAACTGTCCCCAAATAATGGGAGGAGAACCCGCTGGCCTGCCACCATCTACGGGCCCTGCCCTCCAGCTGGAAAGTAGTGAAGTCAACCCCATGAGACTCCAATATCCTCATGTTGTGCAGTCTGTCCCAACACCTATCAATAAAATCCTGGGCATCCTCATGATGCTCGCCCCCAAAGATAGGAGGGTGTAGCCTAGTCCATCTATCCAATAACTTCCTACGGATCACCGTCCGTAGCTGGTTTGGTCTCGGGTACCACTGCGGCAACTGGATGGGCCCCATCCGCGGGTAGTGCCCCCGGAGTCTGATACACTGCAGCTGCAGGGGTCTGTGCTCCCTCTGTCGCATGAGATGTGGCTGAGTGTACTGGAAATAAATCAGCCTGGGTCATAAATTCCATGAACCGCAGCATACGGCCCATGACCTCCTGAAAGCCTGGTGCTGTCATGAAGTCCGCTGGGGTTGGCTCTGCTGCGGGCACCTCGCCCTGCTCCTCAATAATGGGATCCCCCGCAGGATCCGTCGGTGGTGCAACTGGGGCAGCTCTGGGATGCCCTCGTCCCCTACCTCGGGCCGGTACACTCCCCCGACCTCTACCTCGGCCTCTAGCAATGGGGGGAGCAGCCCCTCCCGGGTCTAGAATGTCTGTCGTGCGCGTCCTCACCATCTGTCAGAGAATAGAAGAAGGAAATTTAGCATACCATCAACTGCATGATAGAAGATGAATAAAGAGTAGTTTCCTATCACACTATAGCCTCTCGAAGATAAGTACAGACGTCTTCGTACCGATCCGAAACACTCTATTAGGTTTGCCCATGACTTGTGAGACCTACGTGAACTGCTATGATACCATGTTGTCATGACCCAATTTCCATTATAGGTCATGATGGCGCCCAATACCGTTGTTGGGCAAGCCAACCCTAATCAACTAGTGAGTTCTCATTCTTTTAAATTACTACTCTCGACATTTACTTAACTTAAAGTCAAAACAATCGATAATTAACAAATTATAAGGCGAGTGAATCGGGAAAGACTAAAGTGGATCATAACAATATAAATACAACCCAAATATAATTGTCTACTAATGTGTGTGAGAGGAAGTAGTGTCACAAGTATGAGGGCAACTAGTAGAATATACAAAAGAATATAACAATCCTACTGCCTGAGATAGAATAGACAGTAATAACAAAAGGAGAAACTCCGGTATGCTGCAGAACGGCTCGGAAGAGGGCAACTCATCATGAGATCTCGATCAAGTATCAGGGATGCGCGCCGGACCGATAGCCATATGCACCTGCCTCAAATCCTGTACATTTAAGAACAAAAGCATAGTATGAGTACATAAATAATATGTACCCAGTAAGTATCCAGTCTAACGTCGAAGAAGTTGTGACGAGGGGTCGACTTGACACTTACTAGGGTCAATAATAATATAATTCAAGTGTTACGCCAAATATGGATAGCATGAATAATAATGACAAATTACGATCATGGAGAAGTAAGACATTCTTTCATAAACAACATGTCAAGTTTCAATCACATCAAGTAACAGCTTACATTTCAAGCATTTAAGCAGTGTAAATCACGGGAAGTTCCAAATAAATAACATGCACACATTATGCCGAGGTCGTACGGCCCGGTCCAACATAATATTAAACTGTGCACTGCCAGAGGGTCGAATGGCGCGAACCATAGATCATCTATTTACTACCGAGGCGCTCGGCCTGATCCACATATAATAATTTATTATCAAGGAAGCACACATTGTCCATTTATAATAATGTAATTCATGCAAATTCTCAAGTAAATGGGTTTAGCCGTCTATATTTATTTACCAATTTCCAGCATGACTTAAGTGATATTACTAGCAAGTAAGGACGCAGGCATTTGCAAATATAGCATGATACAGGTTCTAAACAACCCGAAAAATTAGCATAATAGTAGCTACGTACGGACTCTCGTCACCACGTACATATGTAGTCCCCACAGATAGTCACTTAAATTTATTTAATTCACCTATGGGATTAATTCCCTCTTACAAGGTTAGAAAGGAGACTTACCTCGTCCCAAAGCTTACTTCCAAATTCAAGAATGCGCTCAAACCCTCTAATCGGAGCCGAACGATCCAAAACCATTCAAATGGGGTAAGACTAGTCAATATATGCTCAAGAGTTCATATTCTAACTATTAAACTAATTTCCCAACCCTAAATGCGAGGTTCCTAAAATTCATCCCCGGGCCCACGTGCCCGGATTCCGGAAATTTTCGTAGAAAGTTGTTACCAATAACCCAAGGATCAAGAATATTTGATTTTTACTTCATTCCATAACGAATTTCGTGGTTAAATCTTGTTTTTATCAAAATCGTAGGTTTTACTCTAAACCCATAATTTCCACTAATTTACATGTTGTAATCTACCCATAAACTATGTATTAAACTCACATTAAGTAGAAATAACTTACTTCACAAAGCTAGGCTGAAATCTCCCCTTTCGAAGCTCCCAAATCACCCAAGAATGAAGTGAAATGTGTCAAAAATGACACATTCCTGTATTAAATGAACGCCACTGCCTTCAGCGATTTCAGCACCTGCAGTTAGGGGGCCGCATCTACGGTCTCGCTTTTGCGTGGGAGCGTCCGCTTCTACGGAATTGGGCCGGGCTAGCTGGAGCTGCATCTGCAGTCTAGTGACCGCTTCTGCGGTTTCGCTTCCGCGGAAGAGGAGCCGCATCTGCGGAACTTGGGATCCTCCCCTTGGGCCGCATCTACGATGGGTTAGCCGCTTCTGCGGGCTCGCACCTGCGGCTGGCCAACCGCAGGTACGGTTATGACAGAACAGGAGCTTCAACTCCTTCTCAAATTTTTCAACATAGCTTGAGCCTCGTCCAATTGACGCTCGGGGCCTCCGGGGCCCTGCCGAACATACCGACAAATTTAGAATCATAAAACGGACTTGCACGAACCCTCGGAAAGTCTGAAACAACGCTAAATCGAAGAATCACACCCTAAAATCAATTGAATCAACTTATGAACTTCAAGTTCTTCAATCTACTCCCAATGTGCCGAAACGTACTTATACTACTCAGATTGATGCCAAATTTTGCGTGCAAGTCATAAATGACATTACAAAACTATTCCCGATCTCAAAATTCCATTCGGACCTCGATATCACAAAAACCCGCTCCAAACCAAATTTGAAGAACTTCAAAAATCCGAAAGGAATCTACTTTCACTATTAGGTGCCAAAACGCTCCCGGGTCATCCAAAACCCAATCCTGACATACGCCCAAGTCTGAAATCATCATACAAACC